CAGGTAAATTCTAATGGATCTTTACAGAAATTTCATTTCGATCTGTGTGTTATTCATTGTTTATACGAACTTAATCATTAAATTGAAAGGATTTGTGGCAGAGTATAAACTTATTTTAATCTTATCCGTTCACTCACTATATACCCTTGGATGGGCATTATGTCACTTTAAATATAATTTAATTTGATGATGGAAGATATGGACAAACATATGATAAATTGTAATTAAACTCGATGTACAACTTAGCTTTAATAACTGTGTTAAAGTGTTGCGCCGGGTGCATGTTACCATGGTTGTTCAATATCACATGAAACAATAACACAATAAATTAACACAATAAAGTAATGAACTTATGCTTAAATTGTAGAAAACATTTTGCGATCGTTGTTCATATTAAACTATTCGAAATTGAATGAAATATGAATATATTCAATACTCTCAGTCCTATTACTTTTTGAACAACATTCGTATACTTAAAAATAAATTGAAGACCGTATTGTATGGTATATTAAGTCCCTTTTGAGTTGCAGCGCTTTTCAATTTTAGGTCATTATTCACAATTAAAAGAATCATTCTGGAAAAACTGAGTTAGCGAATGACCTGAAATTTTGCACACAAGTAATCGTTCTTTACATATACCAAATGGAACATTAATTTAAATAAGCCCCTTCATGTCAAAAGCCTTAGCGGTGTCCCTTTAATAAATGATAATACATTTATTATGATATCTTTTCTGAGAAACCTTAACCTATTTCCGTGAATGATTAATCATTTTAAACGGGAAACATTTCTGCCGTTTGTTGATTGTGGATTAAAACTTTAGTTTATTTCATTTTTCACAATAGGCTTTTAAACTCTTTCTCTTCCAACTGGACGGTATGCCAGTCAACTTTCCGTACTACAAGACGAGTATACCTGTGTTTGAAATGCCACATCTGGTTACGGCAAGTTATTATTATTATTATTATTATTATTATTATTTTTATTATTATTTCATGTATTATTATAATGGTATGTATGTTATTTTTAATTCATCTGTTGTTTTTGTTAGTTTTTTTATTTGTTACCTTTGTTAATTTTCCGACATGGACGTTTAGGTGTTATATATTCTTTACGTACAAAGTGAAAAAGCATCTTTTTCTGTAAGATCATTCCTTAAATTACTAGAAATGTTCCTGACTGACAGCCTGTAACTGTGTAATTTATTTAAACCTTCGGAAGCAAATGGGAGTAATGGACAATGACTAAACAAATTGAACTATTTCACGGGGGATGAAGTGTTACACGAAGGATGGAGTTCTTATGATAACTTGTTTGGACTTCTTATAATAACTGTCACGGAGTTCCTGGAAAACGTTACGGATTTCTGTGGAAAACTGTTCTATAAACTTGGAGAACTCGCGTAAAAATGGTTATTTTTAACTTTAAATGGGGAGTTTGAGGTGCTAAATTAAACTTTGATAATAAAGCTTGCCCTACATATTGTATTATGTTTCAGAAAAAATCTTTTAGTGCATATTTCGTCGCCGTTTAGAAAAAAATCTGGAAGTTTTGAGAAAATTTTCCAAATTAATTGCTAATTCGTACATATTGACCTTTTCATTTGTGAACTTCTTCGTTGCTATACATAATCACTTAATTATAGTGGAGAGTTGCAAACATAAAGCCCGGGCTAATAAATGTATACCCGATTTTTCAAATGTTACGGAGTTCTTGTGATAACTCAATATCTGTCCTTGAGTTCTTATGATACCTTTTGTTACTGCCAGTGTGTTTCTTGTGCTTAATTACGGCACGTTTAAGCGTATTTTACTAGTCAATAAGTGTGTAAATCATTATGAAGCATAATACGCTTATCATTTGCACAAAAATTCTATTCAAATCAGAATTGCACGATACTAAAAATAATGTAATGGAAAGGAGGCAACTCTGCAAGATTTTCCAATATAACTTACAGAGTTACCTCTCTTCTCATTCCATATTTCAAGGTAATATGCGGAAACTATATGTACATTTAATGCCCCTGTGACCTTGACCTTTGTACTAGTGATCCCAAAATCAATTGGGGTCATCCAATACATAGGCTATTCAATATGTGAAATATGAAGACTTTGTGATAGATAGTTTTTATGATAATGAGTGAAACCATTCTGACATTTAAGGCCCCTGTGACATTGACCTTTGAAATAGTTACCCCAAAATCATTAGGGGGTATCTACTAGTTGTGACAAATAAATATGTCAAATATAAGGACTTTGTAACAAATAGTTTTCAAGATAATAAGCGGAAACAATTCTGACATTTAAGACCCCGTGACCTTGACCTTTGGTCTAGTGACCCCAAAATCAATAGGAGTCATCTTCTAGTCATGACCAATCATTATATGAATTATACGACTTAAAGGTTCAGGATATAGGGTAACCAATCAATTTCAATGTAGAAAAATATAATTTAGCTACACTTTAAAGCAGAAAGCATTTGTATAAGATAACTGTTGTCGGTAGATGTCTTAAATCTTAAAGTTCATATATATCCTGTAATTTCAGACAAATGCATTGTTTACGTCTACGGTATTTTGTGTATTGCGTTAGCTTATTTATAAACAACAAATGTACAGCAGAATAATATATGAAAAATCAATTAAATGATCGACGACTTAGTTATTATAGCACATTACTATAAAGTTGCTTAGCACCATTGAGTCCCTATATAATATGATACTAGAATCAATAAATAATATTCTATAAATATAAATGCTTCCCCTATAGTGGGGGTACAAAACTAAATAATTTACATTGAGAGTAAAAGTGAACTGTACCTAAACTAATGATTTAAGAAAAAATGTTCTGTTTGTATGTGGAGTTTAAATTTGGCATCAGACCCAAACACTTATATTATTACATATTATAACACTTTATCAAAGTATGATGATTATATTAATCAGCTATTAAAGTAAGTAATTATTGTTATTTTAATACAGTAAAATTGTTGCCATGGCCGTGTCACATTGAAGGTATCATTATAACGGCCGTATCAACACATCCGCGAATGTTTCTTAAATTCAAAAGTTCACCATTTTCATGCTTAAATGTAGAATTCTGCTTAAGCCGATTCTATGGGGCGTGGACGGTATCATGCACTTTTTGGTACCGTCCATGAACAGGCCGAATCAAATCGAGTCCTCTACATTTTCAATTTTGTCGTTTTTTGGCGTACTTTTGGGGATTTAATCTGTTTTCACTGTTTAAACCTTTACAGCGTTTTAGTATAAACAATTGAGCTTCTAGGTGATTAAATATGAGGAAACATAAATTAGAACTTTAAAGTTTAATCGAAGATTTTTAAAAATCCGTTATAGAAAAGAATGGATATATTAAAACTATATTCTGGCGTAAAATTAAATATAAACAACAAAAAATATTAAATAACATCAGACACAAAAACTAATACATTATCATGTGATAAAATGAGAAGACAGAAGTACTTGTTAATGCGTCCTCGACTTTTCACAGTGCTTGATAGTTAGTAACACAATTGCCAGAATAATGTGAAAATAAATTACAAAGATAATAAGTGAAATTTCTCACTAATACAGTTTACCGTATTCAAATGAAATCAAACAAAGATTTTAAAATAGTTCTTTTACATAAATACCCTAATTTAATTTACAATGAATGAGAAATTTGGTACTTGGTTCAAAATTAAGATTTTTTAGAATGATACCTAGTAGAATAAGACGTCTTGTTTTGTATTGCGAATGCGCAAGCGAGGTAACTCGTGAATGCTTAATTGTACGGACGACAGACTTTAGTCATAAGATTCTTACAGAGTTTTCGCTCTTTCAACTTTGTGCCAAAAGATATGAAAATGAAAAGAAAATCAAGTCTTATAAAATGCTATTCATACACCCTTGTTATCTGAACAATATGAAATCATTAAATTATTTTGTGTAATAAAAAAAAAAGTGTATATAACTGATAGTGTCATAGTCAGTCCTCACGCTTCTTTCTTCCTCCATCTAACAGTTAAAAACTGGATTCATGCTCGTGACAAATTCTGCAAATGCTCTTTTTTTTACAATGTGTGTGTTTTTTATTCTGTTTTGATTTGGTCTGTTAACGTCATTTATTCCTTCTTTATATCTTTTATTCTGGTTATCTTTTATTCTAAATGAGTTACGTCTTTTTACGTATATTTTTGAGTTTAACATTTAAAAAAAAAATGTTATCTTTACTTAGCGCCTTTCCAGTTTTCCTGGTAGCGGAAGACATCGGATGCTCCTTTGTGCATTATTGCATGCACTACAATTACATGACTGATTTTATTAATGCACGTTTGTATCATCGACGTAGGTGTGTCGGGGGGGGGGGGTGCATCCTTTAAAACGTTGCCCTTGCCTTGATGCTCTTCATTCTTGTTTTTTTTTTTTATTGAGAACCGTGATGTTTATATCTATTCAATAACAATACAATTTATATACACGACTGCTGTACATTTAAGAAGTATAGAGTTATATATTTGTTTTCCTCAAATAAAGAAATACATGTATTCATGTTACGTAAAAGGTGGAATAAAATGGCGAAAAAAAAGCATTATAAATGATCAATTAATACAATTTCCGATACAAATCAAAGCTCGTGTGATTAATTGTACTCTATTTTCAAGATCAATATTTCGATATTGACTATAATTCAATTAAAATGAAAATTGACACAGGGAGACAGTCGTGTTATTTTTTATTTTGCGCCTTTTTTCATAGGCTAGTTCTGCTAAAATATACATTGTACAAATTTCTTGCCGTAATTTTTACTACTGAAAATTAAGTACAGCGTTTTGAGTGAAGTTATTTAAAGTAACCCGAAAGTCATAGAGCAGAGTAGACTGTTTGAAGAATAATTCATGTCCAGCACATCAGCAATATTCACATTTTCAAAATAGTACCAAATTAAAAACAAAACACCCTTTGTGTGTTACACTCATCTTTGCATTGCAAATAACATAAAACAAGGTTTTCTATAGTATTTATTCATAAATATATTTCAATTATTTTATTGATATCTACAATAGAAAAAATACAACCCCATATCGCTTTTCTTAACATAAACAAGAAATCAATCAGCTATAAATTTAATTATTTATTTTATTTATACGAGTTATTAAAATATTAGGCACGTGCATATCATCATATCGTCAGCAAAATATCAAAACATGTCCGATTAATATTTTGTGGACAGTCAGGCACTAACGGCTTTGTGGAGTCATTCGTCATCCAATATGTAATTTCGGAGGGAAGGAATGGCGACGTTCAATAGACGCAACCCCCACACGACTCAGCAACAAGAACCAGCTTCCAGGAGCCCAGGAGGACCCCAAAAACATACTTTTGATATATCAAAAAAATAAACAAACAAGTATAAAACAGCTTGTACAAAAGGTACATCAGTATTATCAATATTATATTTAACCCAGAAACACTGCGTTTGACATTTTTTTATGTTCTGTTGTAATTTTTCCGAATGATAAACCTGTTCTATATTATTCTTGAAATACCAAAAAAATATAAGCATAATTATATAATAAAATTTCAATAAAAGAAAATATAATTAACTTAAGATTTACAATCAATAGTGCTGCATGATTTTGTCATCTGTTCTAAATTTATACAATACTCATGGTGCATTTTTGGGTTGATGACAAAACTTCATAAATATGAAATGATATAAAAAGATACAAGTAATAAGTTCAATATTTAATGATTTTCAAAAGAAAACATGTTAAAAGTAAAGGCTTTACTTATATATCATTATAATTATAAACAAAAGTAAGGTACATGTGCCAGAAAAGTATGTAATACTGTGTATCTAACAAGTTTGTTGATTGCTATAACTAATTTTATGATAAAATCATTCATTTATTATTTTGATAAAATATGTATAAAATAGACAAATATAACTAAATATAATAACATATAAATAATGATAAAATGATACTTGGTTAAATTAATTACTAGAAACAAACACATTTAACATGAAATATTTGTACAAACTACAAAAACTAGGCCTATTACAAAAAGTCCATACAGGCATTCTTCAGTAAAATGTAATAACTTCCTAACAATGTTTCCAATAAGGTTTCTTCAACAGGAAAGGCATTTCAGAAATAACATTCTGACAATATGTCCAATAAGGTTCCTTCAAGAGAGAAGGCATTTCAGAAATAACATTCTAACAACATGTCCAATAAGGTTCCTTCCAGAGAGCAGGCATTTCAGAAATAACATTCTAACAATATATCCAATAAGGTTCCTCCAAGAGAGAAGGCATTTCCGAAATAACATTCTTACAATATGTCCAATAAGGTTCCTTCAAGAGAGAAGGCATTTCAGAAATAACATTCTAACAATATGTCCAATAAGGTTCCTTCAAGAGAGAAGGCATTTCAGAAATAACATTCTAACAATGAGTCCAATAAGGTTCCTTCAAGAGAGAAGGCATTTCAGAAATAACATTCTAACAATATGTCCTATAAGGTTCCTTCAAGAGAGAATGCATTTCAGAAATAACATTCTAACAATGAGTCCAATAAGGTTCCTTCAAGAGAGAAGGCATTTCAGAAATAACATTTTTACAATTTGTCGAATAAGGTTCCTTCAAAAAAATGAGACATTCAATAATTAATTTCCTGATAATGCTTTCAATTAGGTTCCTTCAAGAGATGTGATATTCCAGAAATAACTTTCTGACATTTTTAAAGAGGTTTCTACATATATGTGACATTACAGTAATACAACTCTGATTAGGTTATGACGATGCTTCCAATGAGGTTTTGATAATGTTTCTAATGGTGTTTCCAAGAGATGTGTCATTCCAGATATAAAGCTCTATTTACTTTTTTTCCTCTTGTGACCTTCTTGTTTATGTACTTTACTAGCATTCATTTCTTTTGGTCTTTTTAATACCTTAAACTTGTCAGTTAATGAACTTTGCCGTATTGCTTTGATCCTGGTATCCTTCTTTACTTCTCCTTCATCTTTTTGTTCGTGAGTAAGAGATCCATATTTAGGTTCATTTGCGCCTTCATCTATTTCCGTTACCAATAACGGAGTGGCTCCATTGATGTTTGTATTTATATTGCAGAATGCGCCTTTCTGTCGTTTCAAATGTTTTTCGTTCACTATTTCCTTGTCTAAGCCTCTTTTATTTCCATTTCCTTTGTTCTCCTTTGTCTTTTTAACTTCCTTTTCAATTGTATCTTCTTGTTCCTCTGTCCGTGTGCTTGATGGCATGTCAGTTTTATTTTGTTTTTTCTTTGTTGATTTCTTTTTACTTTCTTTCACCTCCTTTATCAAATTTTGAACGCCAACATCAGGACCATCAGCCGATTCACTTCTGTATTCCTCGTCAGCAAACGAAATATACCAAATTAGTGCTTGCTTAGTTGTTATGTCTCGATCAGGGAACTTACCCGTTATTCTTTGAGGTATTTTCAAATTGTTCACTGCTGTTGTTATCTTTTTTCTCGACCTTTGCAGTATATCCAATGGACGTTTTCTGAATACGTAGTTTGTATCTAATAAAACATAATCGTTGATGTCGCTAATTGGTACACGCTCCTTTCCTCTAAATTGACTATAAATCATCTCTGCAACTTTTTCGTTGTCATCCATATTTAACAAAATTTAGGGATTGTCCTTACATATCACATCATAATCAGACATAACCATTTTGCCTTCTTTCTGGCTACATCTGTTCATGGATTCCTTCATTGCCTCTATACCTTTTCTATGATTTGTTACATGAACCATGTGAAAAAGTGTTGTGTTTCTTTTATCCTTGAGTTCGAATGTTAATTGAAAACTTACATTGGGTTTTCCTTTTCAGAAAAGCTTCATAATTGCTAGTGCATTTTTGTATCTTATTACTAAATTCGAATTCTCTCTCCGGCTGGCAGAAGTGAATTACAAACTTCACAAATTCGACAAGTTCATCTTTGCTATCTTCTAAATCAGACGGATCAATGCCGTAATATTTTGCAACATCAAGGGATATTCCGTACAACTGAGTAACATGTTCAGGACACTTTGATACAAAACGGTTCACGAAACTACTCATAAAGTTGATCAATATTTCATTTCCAGAACCTGGAACAAACTGTTGCACATGAGCCATTGGTGTATCTTTGAAACCATAAGGATCGAGAAATGTTAGACTTCTTACAGATGAATCTCGAAGCATCGGTGGTGCTGTTGTCTTTGCAAACTCTTGGTGGAAAACTTTGACTGTCAAATTGAAAGAGCCTTTACATATTTCGAACAATGCATTTCCCTCCATTTGGCGAAAACCATATGTGTATTCTGGATAATGTCTTTCTAGAAATTTCATTATCAAAAGTTCTACATTTGCAGCAAGTTTTCTGTACGTTTCTATATTACTCTCAATAAAGTGTAAGGTAATGTTGGCATTTTCTCCAAATACTTCACTTCTTTTATTCCGTTTCTCAAGTTCAATAGAAAGTTCGTCTTCTGGTTCCAATTCTGAAGTTGACCAACCCCATATGCTATCCTGTTTTTTCTCTGTGTTTGTTGGTTGTCCTTGTTTTTCTTCATCGCCTGGTTTGTCTGTAAATTTGTTGCCAGCTTTTACAGATGCTTTGCTTCTGTCTGTTTCCTGATTTCTATTTTCCAACAAATCAGTCTCATGTGTATTTGGCATTTTTGGTTTGTCTTTTTTATCTTCCTTTTGTTTTAACATATCATGTTTGTAATAAAAACCTAAGGATACCATTAAAGCAATAAGGGGTGATCCATATTTTTCTATTTCACTCGGCCATTCATTGCCATACCGACCTTCGCCGGCGAACCCATCTATATACACAGTTTTTAAATTAAATTTTTCGTTTTGTGTCTTTTCAATATAAGCTTGGAGGTATTTCTTTAACATCAACCTTTTAGCCAAACCATGAGGAGTATCTTTGTCGAAAAAGGACTCATTTTTACTCATTGCTACAATCTTTTACAGTTCTTTGTAAGACCTGAAATAAGAAACATATTCTGTTTAGTAATAATAATTGCAAACGTCTGCTAAATATATAATAATAATTGTTAGCAAATAATCAACTGCAAAAAGGACCTAGGCATGAATCAAGTCATGCATTGATCTATTTATATATACATCCTCTTAACACTGCATAAGATAATCCATTCATTAACCCTAGTGTTTTAGCGCAATAAGACAGTAAGTCATTTTGGCGCCAGCAATTCAACATTAAATTTTGATCAAAAAGTCGCTGAGAATTAATCAATTGTTAAATTTTTATCAAATTGGCGTCTTTCTTAACGGTTACTTTAAGTTTAGCTAAACGCCTAAACGCTTTAAATCAAACAAAATATCTCACAGGCGTAATAATAATGAGTTCACAAGCATAACATGCGAACTATTTCGGCGAGATAATCTGTATATTTAAGAGGGAACTGTTTTACGAAAGTTTTAGACAATGATTTTCACCAGCAGATTGGTCTACAGATATGTACCTCAAGACTTCCACAGAGGAAGCATCTATACAAACTAAGTTTGTTTGTCCCATGATAATGGCCATTCTACGAACTGGTATTACAACTGTTGAAATTCATTAGAATATCTGTAGCTAGCCATAGCTTTTAGAAATATTCTCTAAAACATTGTTTTAAGGACGGCTGTATGCTCCATATGGTGTGTATAATTACTCTGCTTTGCACCTTGCTACTTACTTTCCTGTATTGATCAGGGGAAGTAACCGCTGCTACAATTCACTGCTTGCAGCCGTTACCTCCTCTGATCAGTACAGAATACATTGAAATATAACTCTGCTGTTGTAAATCCATAAGATAATGTTCATTGTAAGAGGGGTAATTGGGTCTTAACTTTAAAACATTATTTAATAACAGTAGAAGGTAGTCCGTTGACAGCAGGCGACTACCTTTGATAGCGGAAAAACATAAATATACATTATTCTGCAATGTAATATCAGAGTTCACAACAAGTCCATTATTATTTTGATAACTGTCTATAGTTGATCTGTTTTCAACGGAGGTCTTTTTTACGCGCGGGGGGGGGGGTCATTAAATAACGGGAAAGGGTCAATTTTAAACGTTGAAAATTAATCAAAATCGATAAAAAAAATAACCCATGGGATTAATTTTAAACGGGGTCAACATTTAATGTTACACCGACTTGACTAGTGTCAACTAACATATTTCTTTTATATGTTTACATATTAGATTTAATCATGTTTTATGTATATTATACAAATTGAGTGTTATTGTAAATAAATTGAAATTGTGTTTAAACAACTTGTCTATGATAAGCGTTTTACGTATATGTTAGTGATCATCCGTGCTGTTCTACAGAAATTAGAAACTTCGACGGGAGCGATAGCGACAGGAGAATGTTTCTAATTTCTGTAGAACAGCTAAGGATGAACATTAACATATTTAGTGTCAAGCTTTATTTGGCCCTTGATTACGTCACTACGCGGTACTATGAAGCACTATGAAAAATAGAAGGCGACTATGAACGAATTTCAATATAGTATCGACTTTCTTTCTTCTATGAAAATTAACACACATAATTTTTAAGAAATACAGCGTTATCATTGGATGACAAATAATTTAAAAGCTGGACACTAAATAAGTAATACAAGTAGTAAGCGTACGAGGAAAAGGTATGCACAGTATTTACAAACCCGAGCGATCAAGGTTTTCAAAGTCTACCAAAGTCTTTGCGGTTACTATCTATCTTACCAATCTGATCTTTTGTTGTTTTTTTAATTTCAACTCTGTTTTTTTCACAAACCTTAATTTATGTACTTATCATATTTAAAGCCACTTAACGATACGAACCGCTAAGCTTTTGTAATATATTAGCCCGTGCAATCAGGTGTTATTTGAAAATTATCGTGTTAAGGTCACGTATAAATAAAATAAATTTAAAAAATAAGATGATCATCAGTTTCCCTTCTGTTTACGTAGCAACAATAATGAATTTAAAAGTAACAGAAAGAGCATCGAAACACAGGCTATCTGATTTGTACGAGGTATAAATCAGATTGCCGAGTGTTTTGATGTTCTTTTTCTTTTGTATGCAGGCTAATTTACGCCATGTCGTAGTTTCGCTTCTTCGCATAAAATGTGTTGTCGCTTTTTCGGATTTTCAAGGCAAAAAAGAGTAAATACGACAGAAGGAGGGCGAAAATACGACATATAAAATTGTCGATTATTCGCATTCCATCTGTCGTATTTTTCGCTTTGTCGCATTGTTACAGTTTCGCATTTTCGCGTTCCGGTTGTACATGCTCATGGAGACATCAATTTGAAAATACCTAAATATTACAGCTAATAACATATTTTGTACCATTAGTTTATTGTTTCCCTTCTTGTTTCAAAACGTCAAGTGCCTTAAACGAAGAGAAGCCCAGTATATTACAATAGGTTCTAAATGCAATATACTTATTGAATTTTTTTATGAATTTGACTAAGATATTAGTGCAATATATGGAAGAGGGCAGACTGGATGACCGCCAAAAATGCTTTGTTTTTAAGACCTAGGGGAACGCCTGACAACATGACAGACATAATGTCATAACGAATTAAAATCATTTTAAATATTATTATATAAATTTTAAAATGCAATAAAAGCAACTAAAGAATGCTGAATGATCGGAACTATAGACCAAATGTTTTCATATATGTTTTTTTTTTTTTTTTTTTTTTGTTTATTTGGGGTTTTTTTTTTTGGGGGGGGGGGGGGGGTTGGGGGGATTGGGGGTTATAAAATTAAATCATCAAACTTTTTTTTCAAACTTAATCCAATATGCACTCTACGTAATCAAAAGAAGTATGTCTGACGAAACTCTAGTACCAGAATTAACACAGATATTATAAAATGTTTTCCTGTGAAAATACACCTCATTCTCAGAGTAAATATCTATTTCAAAATGTGTGCGGGCAGTGCCTGTATCGTTAAGTTTCATGTCACACCCGTCAGCGGTTTTTTGGGGGTTTTTTTAATCTGATAATCTGAAAATGGTAGGAACACATTAATGTTTTTATCATAAGAATTGTTACATAAATTAATTCGAAACAGTCTGAAAGCATTACCGTTATATAACTTAATTATTTTACATGCGTACGGGGCGGGATAATATTTTTAAATTATAAATCTATACGTGAATAGAACTTATCTGGTATATGACTATTAAATGATATATCATTGTGATCAGATATTTACAAAACTTAAAAATAATAATAATGACAATATATTGATATCTCCATGCGCACAAACAACCGGAGCGCGAAAATGTAACAATGCGAAAAAGCGAAAATGCAACAATGCGAAAATGTAACAATGCGAAAAAGCGAAATGGAACAATGCGAAAATGTAAGAATGCGAAAAATCGAAAATGTGAAGAAACGACACTTTGTCGTCTCTATGTTTTCGCATATTTTGAATGCGAAAAAGCGAAAATACGACAAATGGAATGCAAATATACGACAGATTTTATGTCTCGTATTTTCGCCTTTCCGCTTCTTTTTTGCCTTAAAGATCGGAAAAACCGAAAATACGAAGAGACAACAAAGTCCAACTTTTGTCCTCCCTTTGTGTTTTCGCATTTTCGCATTTTGAGGCGAAGAAGCGAAAATGCACGACGTAAATCAGCCACCACTCTTTTGTATCATAGGCAAAAATAAATACACGTTCCCTGTTGTGAAAATATGAAACCCGAAAAAAAAAAGAAATTAATGAACTAGCATCTGAATATGATATTTCTATCGCTACCCACAATAAGTAAACCACAGAAAAAATTAGCCGATGGTCATGCTCTGGGGTGCGAGAAACTAATACCTGCACTCCATGGCAGTTAACGCACTGCGCATGCATATTTATACGATTTAACTCGTTTCCCCAAACTATAATACAAACAAGAGTAATTTCTAAATGCCTTGAAATAGATTTGTTTTTGTTTAATTTACCATACAATATTTATAAAACTAATCGAAAAAAGTACAATATCTTTGGTTTAACCTGTTGGAAAAAAAACATTGAAATATGAAATAATAATATTATTAATATAAATAAGTTCAGGAAGCACTGACTTAAAGTTTTCGTGATTTAAATTTACAACATATCTTATTTTACTTTACAAATCGTATGTATATCTTTGTATGTTCAACGTTTTTAACTGAAAGAAAACAAAATATTTTCTTCTTTGCACTGAATTTTACTAGCTAGCGGAGTTAGTTTACGTTAAATATTGTCTTATATATAGAGATTTTACTTTAATCTGACACGTCAGTGATAAAACACGCCATACGTGCGTGCCATTTATTCTTGAACTTGATAACTTTTGGCGGTTTAAGCTTGTATGCCACCTTCTTTTTTTTTTTTTCTTTTTTTTTTTATTCGTTTTTTTTCTTGTTGTTTTCTCTGTTTGGTTTTTTAAGGGGGTTGGGGGGGGGGGTGTTTGGTTTTTTTTGTGTGTTTTTTTCTTTTTGTTGGTGGTGTTGGTGTTGTTGATTTTGTTTTCTCTCTCTTTTTGTGTTGCTGATTTTGTAGGAGGTGGTATTTTTTCAGAACAAAACTATTTTTATCCTACTCATCAATAGTTTAAAAATGAAAAAATACTCTCTTAAAATGAAGTACTGTGTATCTTATTTGGAAAACACAACCTATGTAATATGTAACCGGTCGTAAAATAATTCAGAACTAAAACCGTGCGAAGCTTTAAGTGGAATACCCAGATAAAAATAAAAATGATTATGGGAAATCAAAAAGATTTTTATATGGATTTCCAAATTTCGAGCAATATTGGAAATTCCGAGCTAAATATAGAAAATATAGATTCCCAATACCTTTATCAAATATTGAAATTTAAGATAATCAACTTTTCCATTAATAAGTCCATTGACATTTTCGTCTATTATTTTTACAAATGTTTCTTCCATAAGTATGTTTATGCATTAGTTCTTTCGGATAGGGGAGAAAAAATATTAAGCACTTCATATTTAATACATCGCGGTTACATATCATTAGTATTTGTAATTATATTTTGTCCACTAGATATGCGGTATTTTAAATGAATCATAACACATTTACTTTGGTCAATCGGCTAAATTTAATCAGCTTAGTAAATCGACAGTTTTATAAAAATAATCTCAAATACTAAATTGACTGCGCCGTTTTTGACCAATTGCGTTGTTGTAAACACTGACCTATTATACTAAAGCTTGTTTAAAGTGTTTACTTATATGATTATCATTCCAGTTACTCAGATGTTTATCAAAATATAGCGAATTATATCGACTGTGTTCGTATGTAGTGGATTTTATAGTTCATATTTCTTTATAAAGAATGATGGATATAAAAATGTCTCGGATATTTAAACTTTCTTTTTTCTTTTTTACCATATTCGTCTTGATAATCTGCTTACAAATATCTCTATGTATTCAAAATATACGTTTAAAAATCAATTTTATTTAATATTTATACAGTATCATTTTTTTATCATTTACCTCATCAATTTTCATACTATCTATCTTAAAACCGACAAAAAGGCTAATAATTCAGTAATTATTGATAATATTTGACATACCTTATACTGGTGTATTACATTTGAAGAACACAACCTATGTTATCTGTAACTTGTAGTAAAATGATTCAGAACTAAAATCGTGCGAAGCTTTATGTAGGAAAGACTTTGGAAATCCCGATTTAAAAATAAAAATGACGTTGGGATTTTCATGCAAATTTAAAAGGTTTTTAAAAAGATGACTACAACAATACCGGTGACTCCGACATTTATAAAGCTGTAGCGAATTTCATAGCCTGTGTCCATATTTAATGGATTTTAAAGTTCAGATTTCTTTTTAGAGATGAATATGAAAAACTCTTACATTTTTGACATGCAGTTATTTTTGTTTCTTTTGCAGAATTTGTAATTATTATCTGTTTAAAAACTACCCCAAAAAGAAAATATGAATTACAAATCATTTTATTTCATATTAATAAATTAAGAAAAAAAATCTAATTGGTGTCATTGATATAAAAGGTTTGTCCCAAAAGTTAGCAAGTACTTTTATAAAATAAAGATAATAAATGCGAAATAAACGCTACTTCAATGTTAACTTAGAGTTTTTGTTTGTTTGTTTGTTTTTTGTCTGTGTTATTTTATGTTGTTTTTTGAACAAAACAGATTTTTTTCTTAATCATCAACTTTCATACTCTTCTTTATAAAACTAATAAAAAAAATATCTGACATACCTTAATCTGAAGTATTTGAAGGACACAACCTGTAACTGGTGGTAAAGTGAAGTGAATCAGAACTTAACCGTGCGAGCCTTTAAATAGGAAAGACTTTAGGAAATCCCGAGATGAAAATAGAAATGACGTTGGGAAATTAAAAAAGATTTTTTCGTGGTTTCCAAATTCCGAGCTAAATTTAGTAACAAAATACGGAAATTCCGAACTAAATATAGATTCCCGATATCTAGAGTCTAACCTTTTTTTATCAATACTTAAACCGCCAACTTTTCTTTTGTGGTAATAACATGTATGTTCATACGTAATATAAAATTGACCCTTAAAAGTATTGTTATCTATCTAGTTAAACAGTGTATTTGGCCTCCCTAGTTATTACACGACTTACCTTTATCTATATTCAAACGATTAAAAGATGAAAGCGAGCTAAATTTAGAAACAATTTTCGGAAATTCCGAACTAAATATAGAAAATATAGATTCCCGATATGTTTAAGCTTTTTATCAATATTAAACTAGGAAAGTCTTTGAGGAATCCCAAAATGGAGATAGAAATGACGTTGGGAAATACAAAAAGATTATAATATGAATTTTAAATTCCCGAGCTAAACAATTTTCGGCCATTAAGTGGAAGGCTGACATTAGCTCCTTATCTAAGAGTCTGCTTGACAGTCGTATAAAGTAAACGTTAGTCCCTTAAGTTTGACCTTCAATTTGGGGCTTAACTGGTCAGATTCCTTTAATACCCTGTTATCTGTAGCCGTAATGCGCAATCTAATTTCAAACTTTTGATATATATTATCCCCGATTTAACGTCATTTTTGTCTTTACTGTTTATATATCCTTGTAAAGTTAACTTTTTGAGCCGCTAGAATTTGTTACAAACTTGGTATCTTTTCAATAGAACCTGTAATAAAACTTGGTATTTGTTCCATTGTTTCTGCTCTTTTTATTTGATAGTCAGTGTATAACTCGAAAAACTTACATCAATATTTTCATACTTACTTCAGAAATGACTAGTTTTTTACATGCTCAAACTGGGCGAACATATTCTACAGTATGGAATATATTATCGTAAAGACCAGCGATTAATCATAACACAAACAGAATATACTTCGACGCTACGTCGAAATAATTCGGTCATGTGTAACAGGTTTTAATATTTTTCGACCGTCTGTCGCACTCTACCCTCTGTCCATTCTATACTATGTCCCTTCTTTTAATTGCCGTGTGATATCAAGCTCCTTTCGAAGAAGAGACCCAATCATACCAGTTATTAAATCGGATATGTATAAAGATATAGCAAATCATATCGACAGGGTCCATCATATTAAGATGATTTCCAGATTTGTTGATACAGATGGATATGAAAAAATAATCTCACATGTTTTACATGCAGTTATCTTTGCAGTTTTCTTTTTCGCATAATGCTTGTAGTATTCGGCTTGATATTACCCTTAAATGTAAAAAAATATGCATTTACAAAGTATTTTATATTCGTACATTAAAAACACTCTTAAACACTCTTTCGAAAAAATATCTGAATTTCAGTGTCCATTGATATACGAGGTGTGTCCCAAAAAGTTTGCAGATAAAAACAAATTGTTATAGCGATTTTAAATCTATACATTAATGAATTCAATAGATTTCCACTTAAAATGCAACCTTTGATAAATATTATGATACCAATGGGTTTACAAAATAAAAACAGACATTTGAAACGATGCAGTTCAGTGGTTGCTGCGTAAAACACAAAGTCATTTTGAGGCCGTCCCGAGATGCAGGCTTGATCATTCCTGGTCAATAGCCGGGATACCAAGCGTACCTGATCTGTCTGCATTCCAAGAAAATGTCTATGAATATTGTATACGCAAAACGTTTGTTGATCCCTACTCTGTCTGATATGTAACACACTTTCGTACATCTGTCTCTTTCTAGAACATCCTTAAGTGAAGTCACAATGCCGCTATGAATAAGTGTTGTTTTCCCGCGTAAAAGTCCGTTCCACCTTTGAGAAACGCCAGCGTACATATATAGTCATATAGTACTTTATGTTGCCTTTTTTATCAGTTTGGTTGTCTCATTTCATAAAATTTAAAGAGACACGGTGAACGTTAAATTACGCCACGTTTGTTTACCTAATCTTTGCAATTGGTATAGTAAATTATGTACGTTGATGTATGATGTCAAAATTGTTAACGAAAGACGTCAAATACACCCGTCAATGTTTCGCGCAAAATCATGTTAGATTATTATCGATCGTACATTAAAAATAGAATACGTATTGTAGTCAAAGATCATCAAAACAGGCTGGTAAAATTTCGTGGTTTTTTTTTTTTTTCTTTTTTTTTAATAGAACTTAAAAAATATAGTAATGACGTATTTATCGTAAAGAAATTGTCGTTAGGTTAAAATTAGATAGTTATTAATATAAATGTTTTCTCAACAAAAAACAAGGGTGCCATAGTCACAAAATACGCCCGTTTACGAAAAAGCTTTAGATGGAGATGGGGGCATTATGGATAAGTGTTATCTAGCAAGCAAGTTTTTATTCTTGGCACTGTGTTGTTAAATGAACCTTAAAACAAATCAGTAGGGAAGATATGCAGAGAATGTGTGACCTTGACCTTGGTCGCAGGGACCTGAATTTTATGCACTGCACTCAATGATGAACATTTGTGCCAAATTATATTGAAATCCCTCTATGCATGTAGAAGTTTTGCTCCAGACAAGTGTTTTTCTATGAGCTCTAACTGTGACCTTCACCTTTGACCTAGAGACTTGGTTTATGTGCAGGGCACTACGTCTCATGGTGGTGAACAATTCTATAAAAGTAACATTAAGATTCCTCCATGCATGTAGAAAATATGCTCCGGACAACATCTGGATATTTAATCATCTCCAGTGACCTTGACCTTGCAAATATTAACCTAAATTAAATGTGTAACACCTGTAGTCATGATAGTTACCATTTGTGCTACAATCCATCAATAAATGATGACTAAATGGTCCTTATAACCATCTTCAAATTTTTATCTGAACTTTGACCTCTATGTGTAACCTTGACTTTGGTCGCAGGGATCTGAATTTTGCATGCGACACTCAGCCTCACAATGGTGAACATTTGTGCCAAGTTATATTGAAAACCCCCTATGAATGTAGAAGTTTTGCTCCGGACAAGCGTTTTTCAATGAGCTCTAAGTGTGACCTTGACCTTTGACCTGGAGACCTGGATCATGCATGGAGCAATACATATCATGGTGGTGAACATTTCCATAAAGTATTATTAAAATTCTTCCATACATGTAGGAGATATGCTCCAGACAAAATCTGGATATTTCACCATCTTTAGTGACCTTGACTTTGCATATATTGACCTAAAGTACATGTGTCACAGCCGTAGTCATTATAATGACCATTTGTGTTACAATCCCTCAATAAATGATGATTAAATCGTCCCTATACACATCTTCATATTTTTATCTTTTTTTAAACGGGCGTATAAAAAGTACATGTAATTGTAATTTAATAACTAAAAAATTCTGATTTAAGATTTTATTCTAGGGAAATACATTTCATTACAATTCTTAATCTTTGAATGAGCTGAACTGATATTTACTTGAAAATTAAAATATAATTAAATTTCTATGAGAAAGTATTTACATTTGATAAGGTAATTACTGTATGATCTTTATGAACAAATACCAAGTCTACAGAACACCATAGTTATCACAGTTAAGAATCTTGACCAATGAATGAAACATGTGTAAATAAATGTTACATTCTTTAGAACATACTCAAGTCCAAGAAAGAGGATTATTTCATGCCCTTTGATTAAATTCTATTTTTAGAATTGAAAGTGAAAGTAGATCAAGGGGAGTAATTGTGTAAGTCATTTATGAACAAAGTAATAACTTTGTTGTCGCCCTTTGATTAAATTCTATTTACAAAATCTGGATATTTCATCATCTTTAGTGACCTTGACCTTGTATATATTGACCTAAATTATATGTTTCACAGCCATAGTCTTGATAATGACCATTTGTGTTACAATCTCCAATAAATGATGACTAAATGGTCCATATACACATCTTCATATTTTTATCTGAACTTTGACCTCTATGTGTGACCTTGACCTTGGCCGCAAGGACCTGAATCTTGCACGCGACACTCCGCCTCACAATGGTGAACATTTGTGCCAAGTAATATTGAAATCCCTTCATACATGTGGAAGTTTTGCTCCGGACAAGCATTTTTCAATGAGCTCTAAGTGTGACCTTGACCTTTGACCTAGAGACCTGGTTCATGTGCGCGACACTGCTCCTCGTAGTGGTGAACATTTATATGAAGTTTCATTAAAATCCCTCCATACATGTAGGAGATATGCTCCGGACAAAATTGGACGCCGCCCGCCCGCCCGCCAGGAGCGTTCCCATAATACGTCCAGTTTTTCAAACAGGCGTATAAAAAGAAGAATACATTTAGTGCGATATATTTTTTCATGAGGACAATCCTCGTTTAACTTAGCACATGTATGGGAGGAGAAGTAACATTTTCTTCATAAGTTATTTCACGAAACGTTTACGCACTATATTATCAGCCTTTCTTTATTTTTATTATAGCATAAAATCGGCTATTTTCCCCTCTTTTGCCCATGTTATAACGGGGCCAAAACCATGCGTTAACATAGTCACGCGCTCAAGATTGTTATAGCCCGGTTTTACCTATCCGCAATACATAGAGGGCCCATTAAACAAACAAAAAATAACGATTTGGCCTGTTTGCCAGAGTCAAGCGCTCTTGTTATATTGAAATTATTAATTCGAGGGCCTCAGTCGCATAACGGCGAGCAGCATTCAAGTAATTATGCCGGCAATACGGCGTATAGACATCGCCGCTTATCTTGGTTGTCGCCCTTTCTTAGAAACGGACAGTTGTCAGTGTAAACAAACATAATCTGTCATTCAGTTTAAAATTCCCAGAT